TGTCTACAATTACTTAAAGCATTCATTTATTTGTTTATGAGTTTGAATCTCCCCTCCTTGCATAAGGACTGTGACACTTTCAGAATCCACATGTTGCATGACTTCAGGTAGTTTGGAATTTCAATCAACCTTTTCACATATTGATAGAACTTGATTTTGAATTTTCCTGAATTTTCAAATTGGGATTAAAATAAGTCAAGTATTTAATGTCAAATTGGGAAAGCATGCCAAAAAACTATTTATGTTATTCAGTTTTTTTTTTTTTTTTTTTTGAGACAAAGTCTCGCTTTCTTGCCTAGGCTAGAGTGAGTGCCGTGGCGTCAGCCTAGCTCACAGCAACCTCAAACTCCTGGGCTCAAGCGATCCTCCTGCCTCAGCCTCCCGAGTAGCTGGGACTACAGGCACAAGCCACCATGCCCGGCTGATTTATATATATATATATATTAGTTGGCCAATTAATTTCTTTCTATTTTTATGGTAGAGACGGGGTCTCGCTCAGGCTGGTTTTGAACTCCTGACCTTGAACAATCCGCCCGCCTCGGCCTCCCAGAGTGCTAGGATTACAGGCGTGAGCCACCGCGCCCGGCCTTGTTATTCAGTTTTTAAACAGCAATGATAGCTTGCTTTTGAGTGAAATGAAAAAAAAGCAAGAAAGCAACCTTAGAGTACATCAGTTCTATTCTCTTTTTATTTCTGTTTTGCCATGTGTGTGTGTCTACATTATGTTTTTTTCTTCTCTTTTTTACACCTTGTACACCATATCTGTCTTCTTTTCTATAAAGAAATCAGAGGCTATGGCACTAAACCTCTAAATTGTATGCATGGAACTAACCCTTAAAGCCTCCCAAATATGCCAAGAACAGGCAACTATTTCAAAATCTCATAATGGACCCAGGCAGCTGGTATATTTAGTATCTAAGGAACAGCTTTTCCTTTTCTTTCTATTTTTTTTCCCTCTTCCCTCAGTAGAAGCTAAAACTTTATTATAAAACCACAGATAAGTATATCAACTGCTAGGAGGCTGGCACAGCAGAATACAAGGAAATAAGAGATAAGGGAATTTGGTCAAATACAAAAAGTACTGTGGAATTTAAACCAAATGACAGCAGATAAGGCTTTCTCTGAGTTTCTATTAAAAATGTAATAAATAAGAAATCCAAAAAATTTCTTTCCGGCCCTAGCACTTTTGTTCCTATATTGTATGAATGTATAGAATCTTCATCAATGCAGCTGGTCTCTTCACACTTGCAAAAATACACTTTGCTGGGGTCCTGTTAAAGATATGGCAGCTTCAGGTGGAAGCCCTGTGAGTCTTTCAGGAAAGTTCACTGTTTGAATAAATAAGACTTTATTTACACCACTTAAGGAAAATTCTCTAAGGATCCCAAGGTATTGTGAGTGATGGGTCTTACTGGTATTTCATGTGCTGCTGTGGAATTTAAATCAACCTAAATCAGATAGGTCTTAATAAAATGAACCCCCTCCCCTTAAATAAATTTGCATAGATTTATGCAGATCATCTCAATGCCTTTGGCCCTTCTGACCTCAAGGAAGGGACAGAGATTGAGATGTGGACAAAAGGGGACTCCAGTGGTTTCCTGAGATGACAGCACCTCTGGGGCCTGCAACTGGAGTGTGATCTGTGGCCCAGGTGAAGTGGTCCATGGTGTCTGCTCCATCTCTGGAGGGCAATAGCCTTAAGTCATAAAATGTCTCCCTGCATAATACAGAGCATCTGTTGGGCTCAGCATCCCTCCAGCTCAGTTTATATCTGTCCCGGGATGGTCTACAGAAGAAAAAGATCACCCCATTTGGATAGTAGATATTCAAGCCATTTTATTTTATTCTATCTTTTGTTCTTATGCAGTATGCATATATGTACCTTTCATCTAGTTGAATTTATGTTTTAAAGCATTTATTTATAGATAATTTCACAGCATCATGACTATGTATCTTGATAGACTGAAAAAGCATAAACCGAGCCTTATATTAATATAATTCTTTATGCTAGGGGTTCTGCCAGGTTGGCAGAGGGTACAATATTAGAACAGTATTATCAACTTTCAGGAATAATTTCCATTCAGTGTGGCAACAGCTCCTTCCTGGGCATAGCAAATTTAGTGCCATAAACCGGTCACATTTTACTAATAGCTCTGGGTATCAAACACTGATTAAGTATAGCTATTAACAAGCAAAACCAGAGTCCATCAGGAATAGATTATGTGGATAATTTGACATTTAAAATGTCATAATATAATACATATTAAAAAAATCATTCAAGTTTTGAATATTCTGTTACTTTGTATTATTACATCATAGATTTTCTGGGCCTAAGAAGATGCTAGTGTTCAGAAGGTATTGAAGAATCCAGGCTTGTGTGGAACATGGAAGATGAGGGTCAAATATCCCAACATTAACTATTAAGATGTTTAGAGAATCATTACTAAGCAAGAAAATTTAGAAAAGCTAACTCTGACCACTTAAAAAAAAATTGGCCACTTTTTAAATTATCAAGTTCTCTTACTGAAAATAATTTAAGATTTAGTATCAACAGAACATTTCCACTCATTTATAAACAGGATTCTCATAAATCTTTGTGGCTTCCGTGCTATGACCCAGAATAAGAAATGAATATGAGGTTGGGGGGGATAAAGGCTGAACACCTTGCTCTTCGTTTCCTACTATTTATGTAAAAAATCTGCATCAGCATTATCTCTAAATAGTCCCATAGAATTCCTTCTCACCCAGTGCAAAAATACTTGATTAATAAGTAACCACAAATAAATTACCCTGTCTAAGGTGTTTAGGAGAGTATCTGGTACATAGTGCTCCTTAAGTGCTAATTGTCATAGTACTATTGTTTTATTATTTTTGTTTGTCAATTCAGATTTCTAAATTCAAACACAATTATTAGGGTCATCTAATTTGTCGGGGCCTCCTAGCAAAAAAAAGTCTAGAAAACCCAAGACTATTGGTCATGTACAGACAGAAGTCCTTACTCTTTGTTTACTTAATTTAAAAATTTGACCATTAGTGTTACATTTTAAAAATTATTTGTATGTTTTATATATTTACAACTTTATATTATGCGAGACATTTTTTTACTATAGAAATTCCTATCACTATGACAATTAATTTAAAAATAATTTCTTTTAATATATGGATTAATGAAACAGTGCTATAACTTGATGACATCTTGAGTTTTACTTACAGCTATAAACCTCATTTGTGGGTGAGTTTATATGGGTGCATATGGGTGTAATTATCTAGCCAGCTTCTTTGTTTCTGAATCTAGAATGCCCTGTGGGCAAACTTGAGCTCTTCCTTCCTGTTTTACAAATTCTGAGTACTACTATTATCTATGAGATTTTCTGTGCAAAAAAAAAAAAAAAACAAAAAAAAGAGAGATAACTTTTTTCTTAAACTTTTAGTTATTGAAAGGTAAGTTGTCTAGATGCCTTTTCACATATATATGAAAATATCATATACTGATTCATCTAATCTTATTCTGTGATTATTTAAAGAGCACTTTTGGGGCCAGTTTTAGTTTGTGCTAGATAAAACAAAAAATAGGTTTTGTACTCCTTCAATATGGAAGTATTTTTTCAAATATTTTTGGACTTGAGAATGCTTTGAACTAATTACTCAGGATAATGATATCTCAGAAAATAATGGTATAAATATTTGTTCTTTAGATAAAAGTAGCATGAATGAACACTGCCTGCTTTAATTTACAGATGTATTAATATCAACAAGGACATCCTTATGAAGATAGTTCAAAATCTACCATGTAGTAAAATAATAATTAGGGAATATATGGACAAGTATGTAATTGATTTTAAATCTAATTAATTAGTAAATAAAAAATTAATTTAATTTTTTCTTCTTACTAATAACATCTTTGGTTTCATATACAAATCATAGCTAACTAAAGTCTTGATCATAATCTTATTAAATATAATAGATCAACTTTTTGATAATTGGCTTTGTACAATAGCTTTAAAAAATTAAATGGTTACCTAAAACAAATCAATTAACAAAATTTTTGTTTGCTTTTATGTCATTAAATTGTCTTAATGACAGAGTGGAAAGGTCATCATCAAGCACTTGATCTATTATAAAATTGTTAAGAAATATTTCACAGAATTAGTGACATCTAACTATTATTTTTTTACCTTAATTGCTTCCATATTTAAGTAATTCTGCATTTATTTAAAAAATCTGTTTTAATTATAGAGGAATGTAGGTCTATGAAATTGTTTCATAAGAATTCTGCTCAATGAAAACTTACAATAGGCTGTTTGAGCCGCTGTCGTCTCATCAGAGCTAAAGACACACACACAAATGCTCATTTCTTCAGGCTGTTAGGTTGTCAATGGACATGTGTGTGTCTTTGTGTATGTCACACCCTCTAAATTCAGGTGGCCTCAAGCTGTGCCATATAATTCCAGCCTCAATTAAACTTTCCAAGGTCAGCAGTGCTGCACCAGGTCAGACATAAATAAGGCAGAGGATAGTCCTAGGATACAGCAAAGCCATATTTATTCTTTATCCACAGTTCAAGGCTATCAAATGAAGCCTCGCCCAGAGAAAAGACAGAGGAAGAAAGGAGAACTCTCAAAAGGTACTTTCCACCTAAGTGTAACCTTTGTTAAAAAAAATAAAATAAAATCAGTGTATGTATAATTCAAGACCCAGTGTATTAGTGGGGTGTGTGTGTATGATTTTTTTCTCTATGAATACAACTTTAACAAGAGCTCAGTGGAGAATATGTTGGTGTGATTCAAAATATTAATCCAGAAATCAAGAGAGCCAATTGCTGATTTTTGTGTGTGCTACTAACCGGTAAGGTAAACTTAGATATATATTTTATCACTCTCAGTTTCCTCTTCATAAAATCAGAAGTTCAAAGTAGATAAATCCAAAGAGTTTTCAAGTTCTAAATTCTACTTGAGTCTGAATTCCATTTAAATAGTATTAGTAAACAAAAACCTAGTAACCTAAGTTAAAGACGAGAAATAGAACGAGAGAATATATTCGATCATATATAAGGTACAAGTATTAGTTTTTAGAATACATAAAAAGCTCCTATAAGGAAAAAAAGACACACTTAAAAAATGTGCAAATAAAATTAACAGGTAGTTCACTGAAAAAGGAATCAGGTTGGCCAATAATTACTTGAAAAGATGTTCAATGTCTTTAATAATTTGGGAAATACAAACTAAACTACAATGTTATACCATTTTACACTTGCTGGTTTGACAAAATTAAAAAGTCTCAGCATGTTGAGGATGTGTTAACAGTGAGAATCCAAAATTGTACACAAAGATCTGCCAGAGCACTTCAGAAAAATCTCAGGGACACCATAGAATATTTTTAAAATTTGAGGAAACTACACCAGAATCTATTGAGCAGTGTGTGTGACCTATAGGCTTGAGGGAGCTAACTTTAGATTGTACTATAGACCCTTTAATGATGTCAGATCTTTGTGAAACTTTTCAGAGCTTGCTGTAATAAAAAGAAAGAACCGATTGACCAGTACACAATTATGGACATTGTTATGAAGAAATCTAGTTTGCTGTTCTCCACTAAGATGTAAGCACAGTAATCTCTCAGTTGGGTGGAGTCTGATCCTTAATTTAAACATGGGGCAATGGACTCATTTGTAGCTTATGCTAGCGTGTGACTTCTGTTATTTCTTATAAGCTAAATAATAAACGCTAAATGGAGTTAGATACATTAGATAAGAAATAAAAGAGAGGAACAAGAGAGAAAACAAGGATGTGAAAGATGGATGGAGAAAAGTGACAGAGTTCTGGGTAGATGGCACAGATTTCCATTGGAAGTAATTAGATAGATTTAGATAAAACAGAAACAAAAACAAAATAGAACAAAATAAAAAAAAAAAACAGAACATACTTAATATAAAAACTTGCTAATTGTTTATCTGAAAGTCAAATTTAACCATAACCAGGCATCCTGTGTTTTATTTGACAGCTCCCCATGAAGTGGATCACTAAGTAACAGGGAAAGCAGAGAGTAGCAAAGATAAGGAACTTCCATCACCATAGCAGGACTTTTAAAGACTTTCTGTAGGTAGAGGGCAAAAGATACCAGAATGAAGCACTTACTAGAGTCAAAGAGCTGAATCACAATTCTTCTCCCATGAGACAGGAAGATACCTCAGAAGAAAATGCTGCAGTCCCTGTGGGAAAACAAAGAAACAAATCCAAGTTCTTGATTCAGACAGGTGTAGTCTGTGAGGCAGACAGTGATAACAAGCACAAAACCATGCGTGAGGGGTAGGCAAGCAGTAAAGAAAAATGTCTCAATTTTACAAACTCAAAATGCAAATGGAGGAAGGACATTGCCATGATGAAATCAGCAATTAATTTGGTGGAAGAAAAGATAAACTTGAGAGGTAGCTCAGCTGACCCAGAGATGAATAAAAATAAAGATTACAATAGGAATTTTGAGATATTAAAAAGATTTACATTGAATGAGCATCCATGCCAGAGAGCATTTGAAAATATGAAGTATGTAAGTCATGTGACAGTGATGATTTCTTAATTATAAGTTGGGTAAAACTGAAGATTATGTGAATAAAAAGGGATAAGTGGGAAGGGGAATGGGAAAAAGATGAGCAGGCATACTGAATTTTCAAATATGTACTCCATGACATGCATAATTAGAGAAAAATACATTCAGGTAGATTTGGTAATGGTAACCACTAAAAATAACATGACATCATTCTGAACCAGCCAACTGTGGGGACATAAAAGAGAAAAAAGACAGAAAAAGCAGAATGTTTAACAAGCTTAATAACAAATATAATAATGCGACAAATATCACTTCCTTAAACTTTTCCATTAAATGACACATACTTTATATTTTGAATCAAAGAACCATATTAAATTTTATGCTATCTATAAGGGATAATGCTAAAATAAAAAAGAAGTTAAAAATAAAGGAAGACCAAAAACATATCACACAAACTAGTATAAACACACAAAAGAAAGCAAGTGGAATGGAAAAGTGAAATTCAAGACACAATATTAAGCAGGTAATTTCATATTACTAAAAATCATAGAACCAAAGGACAAAGTGTGAAAGTCTAGAAAAAAAAGTCTGATAAATATGTAACAAAAATACAACCGTAGTGGGAGAATTTAACAAATCAATTCTTTAGTAGTATATTGAGACTTATTCTCCAAAACTAGAGAATATCTATGTTTTTAATGGGCCTTGGAAAGTTTGCCAAAATGTATCATGTTGACCACAAAAATACCTCAAAATTCTGAAAAGTATAAATTTCGGAGGTCATAGCCTTTGATCATTATGCTGTAAAAGACCCTCCAGAAATTAGTATTAAAATATGAAAAGTTAAAATACATATAGTTATATACGGAAAGGGGCTCTGAACATAGATACTGGGGAAATTTAAAAAAACATTTTAATTTTTAGTAATCAATATTATTACATCTGAAAACCTCAATATGACAATTTTATAAGAAAGTACAAATTACCAAAATTGTACTTGTAGACATTAACATATCAATAACTTTAGAACAATGTAACAATCACTCCAAAAAATGCACTTGGTCAAAATAGTCTGAATGGCAAATTCCTTCTATTTATCAGGGAAAATGCAAACATCATGTTATAAAAGAGAGTATAGCAATTATAGAAAAAGATGAAAAATTCTCAACACATTTTCAAATACTGATAATTCAGATAATGCCAAATTCAGCATGCACATATGTGCGCATGCACACACACAGAGGATGTTAACACTTTCAATATCATACTTGAAAGTCTACTGTATGCCTTTTTATTTCATTAATAACATTTTAGAAATGCACACATGAGGGTCAATAAATGTTCCATTAATTTAAGAAGCAGAATTCTGAAATAAAATCCTAGTGTGTTCCATTTACCAATATGAACAAAACAGTAATATAATACATTTAGGTGGAATTTAATTAAAAATGCACTTACCTAGTCTTACCTAGTAGAAATCTATTATTGTGATTTATAAAATTGGTGGCTAAAATAAGAAAAAATACTTATACCTTGAATATATCAATTAAAGCCAAAAGATAAAAACATTGCACATCATTTATCATATACTTTTTACAAAACTTTTGGCAAATTTGAAGGAGAAGGACTTTTAGAAGTATTGTTAAGAATATCAACTGGGCTCAGTGGCTTACACCTGTAATCCCAGAACTTTGAGAGGATCACTCTAGGCAAGGAGTTAAGACCAGCCTGGGCAACCTAGCAAGACCCTATCTCTATAAGAAATAAAAACACTAGCTGGGCATGATGGAGCATGCCTTTGGTCCCAGCTACTTGGCAGGCTAAGGTAGGAGGATCACTTGAGCCCAGGAGTTTATGATGACCTGGCTGCACTCTAGCCCAGGGCAATAGAGTGAGATTCTGTCTAAAAAAATAAAATAAAAGAGAATAAACTCTTTATTAGGCCCCAAACATATAGATACTTAAGGATAACACACTAGAGTAGAGTGAGGCATTACCATGGTATGGCTCCCACAGAGCTGTAAAAAGCAGTGTACAATCAGGCAGGACTTTTAACTGATGGTGATATATGAAGCTCAGCATCAACAGTCTTTACACTTGGCTGATGTCACCTACTCATATTACCAGGGGTCCCTTACCGTTTTTGAGTTTTCCAATTGAGTTTGTGGCAAGATAAGGAGACTTACTATTAGCACTTTACAAATAAAGTATTAGCAATCTAATATACAAAATGAGGTCTATAGCTAATAATATTGTATTATAATCAGAATTTTTACTAAATGAGTACATTTTAGCTGCTCTTGCCACTCCCCCACACACACAATGAGCAACTATATGAGATGATAGATATGTTAATTGGCTTCCCTACAGTAACCATTTTAGCATGTATATGTATCCCATTACATCATGTTTTATACCTTAAATATACACAATAAACTTTATGTAGGAAAAGTATTTCCAGTCCATATTATATAACCAGAAAAAAATTTTTTAACAAAATTTTAGCAATGAGAAGACAAATATCACAATTTGCAGATAATTTTTGACCATAATAAAAAAGAAAATTAAATGACATTTTATGAAATGTATAGCTATATAAAAAAATAACTAAAACTATAATTTCCTTATACCCAAAAAATAAGCAATCAAAAACTCCCCCAAAACAAAAGAGCCTATTATAAAGTGTAAAAAAAAAAATTACGAATAAGCATATCAAACATGCACAAGACCAAGACATACAAATGTCATACATTTTTTTCAGGAAAATGAAATTTTTAAAATATCTTAGATAAATGTTAGTTAGCAAGATCTCTGGGTTGGAAGAATCAATACTGTAAACAGATCAATGATTTGTTTGCTCATTCATTCACTCATTCCCTTCAGATTACTTATTGAATACCTCCTCTTGGCCATGTGACAAACTCAGAGTCAGAGAGACAGTGGTAAATATTGCAACTGGAGTTTTGGAAATGGAAAAAAATGCTTCTGAAATGTGAAGGGAAGCATGCATGTGTGTGCTTGCTCTATCAGTAGGATAATAGCAATCATTAAATGAGTGTGACACAGTGCAAGATAACAGAGAGCCATAGTAGGGAAAGATGAAAAAGCCCTAAAATAAAAAATGCCCCAAAATTAATGTCTGATGATGCCAGGTGTTGGCAAAGATTTGTGGGAAGGAAGAACTCATGCATTGTTTGGTGGAGTGTAAATTGGCACACTTGATTTACAAAGCCTTTTAATAATACCTATCAAATTTGAAGGTGAACATACTTCACTGCTTTACATTGTCGCTTCTTGGTGCCTTCTCTTGAGAAATGTTCACATTTACACACAAAAAGCTAACAAATGTTCACCATTATTTGCCATAGGAAAAAAGTGGACAGTGGGGGGAAGGATGTGCTTATTTATATAATAGCATAAATGTCTTAGTTAGAAATTATTAAATGAAATAAATGTGTCAACAGTACTGAAATATACAAATCTTTTTGAAATTGCCCAAAATAAAGGATACATACAATATGACAATATTTGTATGATTTTTTAAAAATCTAAAATAATTGTATATGTGTTTTATGGATACAAATGTGTATATACAAGCTCAGGAAACAGACATAGACTGATCACTATCAACTTCAACATGGTAGTTATCTTTAATAAATGACAGATGAGGAGAGACTAGAGCTAACAGGCTTTTGAGTATAGTTATAATATTTTGTTTTTATTGATATTAAATATGTGCTTAAGATTGGTGTCAATATTTAGGTAACTGTAATAAAAGAGGTTATATTTATCAATGTTTGAAATCTTTGATAATTAGGAAGAAAGTGAAATCTTTCCAGCCATAAAATGTAATCCTTGCTAATTTGGAAGCAATTCATGAAAAAAAAATGAAAGCCCTTAACATTAAATTTTATGGGAAAAATAGGATAACTTGCTGATATTAACAATCACAATATAGAAAATCATTTAATGACACAGATTAATGTTTATGGCATATTAAATAAAAATAGTCACACGTAAAAGAAAATGCGTAGTACATATGACCCTAGTTTTGTGGTTTAAATCACCTATACATAAAATAAAATTGAAGAGTATACAAGAAAATTAAAATGGTGTTTTTCAGAGTCAGAATTACACATTTCCTTCTGATTTAAGCTTTTTATCCAATTTATCAAAATGTGTATGTATATTTATAATCCACATTTTTTAAGGTGGGTAGATGAAATTGTAGAAGAGAAACATTATAATACTTGCTAATTACCGACTATGCTCCAGGTACATTACTGTGTAATTTAGCCCACTCCATACCACAGTCCAACATACAAGCCAATTGCTAACGAGATGCATTTAAAGAATGAGGAAGAGGATTGTGTATCTAGAAAGAACTTAGTCATATAGAACAGAATGGTTTGCTCAGTACCGTTGGGTCTTCCTTTAGCAGGTATTTCCTCGGACTGCTAATAAACACAATCAAGTACATAGTTGTGACTGGAAACAAATGAACTAATTCTGAAGAGAAGGCAGGAGTTAGCTAAAAAGTGCTACATCGTGCATCACAAGGCACGGGTTTGTGATGTTTGCTTGTTTTGTTTGATAGGTTTCCCTACTGGGGCTTCAGTGTGTCATCTAGATCCTGAGAATAACAATGCCTATTTCACAGAATTTGCTTTAATTTTACACCAGAAATCAGTAACAAAATCCTTTAGCTCATGACAGGCACTCAATAAATGTTAATCCGATGCTCCAAATATGCCTTTAAAGAGGAAATTTTCTTTTAAAATACAGCTTCCACAGTTTATTCTTCATCAACTGGTGCATTTTTAAAATTATTTTCTCAAGCACAGTCAAATCCAGGTCTATTTAAAATAATTTGCAGCCAAGCTATGTTTCTTTTCACCTTGTTTCTCAAAGAAGTTCAGCAACATGGCTTGGAGGCTCAGCCTGGTACGGTGAAATCCACCTCTAAGCCCAGTGGATGTAACTTGTCCTCTCCTAAGTATTCGATCGTTAATA